CGCAAATTACCTGTCAACATGTTGTTTGACAAATGAGCAAACAATACGGCTTGTCACGTCCACTTAATCGACGAAAATGGCTTTTGTTTTTCAAAAACGGTTACCCAAAAGTAGGCAATATCTATTTCAGATTAGTTAATTGTCCAGTGTATGTCAGTTGAGTTGCCGAATTGGCCAGGGGATATTAACAAAAAATCCCTTATAATGTGCATCTCAGCTTTACTTTTAATAGTATAAGCTCTTCAATCCAAAGAATGCCTAATTTTATAACTGTTTAAATTTCTATATTTCAGTAAACAAATCAATCAAAAAGAGCTTTTTTTTGTTTCAAAATATTAAAATTATTAAAATACCATAACTTAATCAAAAAGTAATGTGAAAGAAAGTTATACAATCAATTTTTGCCACAAAATTATAATAAATTAAATTATCCACGGAAATTGTATCAATTTAGAACTGGTTCTTACAACAGTTTTTATACAAATATGTATTATGTGAAAGGTTAATAAAACTTTTTGGTGCACCCTTTAAAAAACATCGACGGTTTTTTTGTGGTTGTTTTTAGAAGAATAACTCAGCTAGATGCTAAGGGGATAAAGTAACAAACTAAAACACGGTTCGTTTTTTCGACTCCCATGATGTGAGTAGGAAGTCTCCTTCTTCTGCTTGTGACAGAAGCTGTGGAATCGCGAGATGTTTGTCAAATTAAAAGCACAAACTGGTGCCTTACTCTCTCCCCTTTGAGGGGCGTGAAAAGTCAACAGGAGTGGGTGAGGAATAAAAAACGCACCACGCATCAACTGGGGACATCGGCAACGGAAAACGACAGCAACAGCATCACGTGGCAACAACAATGCCATAAATAACAAAGCCAAATGTTGGGGGGCGGATGGGTGGAGTGAGGGGGTGGCGAAAGGGAAGCCGCTGCCAAGTTGGCAGTGCCAACCAGGACGACAGGTGCAGACGCGGTCGTCCTGGGGGTGTAACTGGGTGAGTGTACCGCGGGAAGCGCAGCAACAGTCGCAGCGCCTTTGACAAACAAATCAACACTTGGAAAAAGTGGGATTAAAAATTACAAATTAAATTCAAATACCAGCTCTCATAGCTCTTTCAAACCCTGAAAAGAAACGTTCTCTTCTTATTATTATTGGGGTTGGACTTTCTGGGGTGAGATATGATAGTAGAAAAATGTGACAAGTATTATTAAATTTTTTATCATATGTGTTTCTATTTATAAAATTGTTTTGAATGGTATATACTGTAGTTTGTTCGAAATTGTATTAATATGCAGTATGGTATTCTATTTAATTTTGTAACCTTTAAACGCTCATTATATATATTAATTTGACCTTAAAATAAGCACCTATAATTATTAAATTGATTAAAATTTTCAACCAATTATATTTGAGGGTATGTTTTCCTTCTTAAATTTGAATCCAAATTATGGGGCTTAGGAACTTTTTTCTCCTGTACAATCAAATATAGGGGAGTGACACGGACGAGCAGGAAGACAGAAAAAAGCAGGGAGTTTGTGCAAGAAAATATTTACAATCAAGTCGATTAACAAAAGGAAACCTTGTGACGCGCACTTTGAGTTTTTCTCGTTGTTTCTGCCTTTGGGTCCCGGTTTTATTCTTTTCACTCCCCCGCTGTTCGGTTGGCTCTTCCCCAACCGCTCTAATTTTGCGTTTTTAATTAAAAATCAGTAGACTCACGTTGTCGCTGGCTCTGCGGAGGCTCTTCAGCCGCCGACTGTCATCAGCGCCATTTGGCAAATCAACGGAATCATTGCTCCTCCCACTTTCCAGCTGCCCCGCTGTTATTGTCCCCCTTCCGCGGCACGAAAATATTTTTCATAAATATTACGGAGGCAACACTTGAGATTTTTTGCCACATTTCCCCGGCAGCAACAACAATTCATAAGCGACGTCATCATTAGGGAAACATTTGCCGCCTACACACTCCTGCCAAGCGAGTGTGTGAATTGTGGCAGCTCCCGCTGCTTTCTCCCCGCTTTCCCCTGCTTTCCCCCTGGAAATCCTGGCCCAGTGCTTATTGTCTTAAGAGGAAGTCAGCAGAGGATGGGCGAAGGCACTGCCGCCGAGATTGGCAAGCGGATTGGGGCTACGCATCTCGCTTTTCATAAAAAAGGCTCCCTGTTGCTGGTTTTCACGCTGGGGCGGATGTAACCAGAGAATTGCATGGGGATGCCTACGGTGGTCCTACCTAAGAAATGCGAAAATTACTAGACATAAGTGTTGCGTTGCACATCAAAAGTTTTGCTCTTCAGCTCACTTAAACGTTTAATTAACGGAAATGCAAATAAAATATTCTGGGTTTTTTGGTGTATGTGTGTGTAGGTCGAAATGGAGAGTAATGATACAAAATTAAAACAAAATTTGACTTGCAAACTATGTATTTAAGCGGAAAAATATTAAATTATAAAAAATATATTTAAATTTACATGTTATTGATGCAAATGCAACTTGAACTGTTGTTTTGTTCTGTTAATTGCCTTGTTGGAATAAATATTATAATTTTATTGTAACAAACAGATTCTCTCCCTTAAAAAAGCTAAAATGTGATTTCTCTTTCTGTTAATGTTTGAAAGTTAGTTTATTCCACTAGAATAGATCTCCACTCTGGCACTTGTATGTTTTGCTTTCATTTCTTGCTGATTTGCTCCACTGTGCCCTCACTGTTCAGCGAGCAATTGCAGCTTTACTTTTTCTGCGTTCTATACCCATCCGCCCCTTTCAAGTGCTTTCGCCTCCACCTTTCTCTTTCTCTCTGCCTTTCCCAAGCCGCTTTATTTTATATATATTTTGCAATTTTTCACTTTACGACTTTCACATTGTTTATGCAAAATGGCAAGAACGCTATTTGAATTTAGCAGAAAAGAATTATGATAACGCGATTGTCAACGGCAGCCCTGATTTTATTTCCTTCTTTTTCGCTCCCAATTTTGTCTTTCCCGCTGAGATACAGTTATGATTATGACAGGGCGCCATGTTGTTTGGGCCAAGAAAACCCTTCACCTCCTACCCATCGTCACTTTCAACAACACGTGCTACAAGCCGCACAACAGTTGATGTTATTGCTCCCGTTGTTGCTTTTTTACAAAGTGTAAATTGTTTTAATACTTTTTAGTGTGCTCTGCAGCGCCATCTTGCGTCGCGTTGCGGCGGCAGCTGCGCCAAACTGCCACGCCCCCTCCTCGCGGGGCAACTTTTGACTTACACGTGTACGCTGCACGTTCAAATCTCAACTTTTACGACCTCTGCAGGATATTATCGTCGTTGTTTTCCTAGCGTCACTTCTGCGTTTGTTATTTTTGTGCTCCTGCGATGACGTTGACTTTTACCTGTTGGCCACAATCGGGGGTGAGAAAGTGCACTCAAAACAATATGGTTGTATTTTTTATGGCTGTTTATAAATTCCATTTTCATGGGTAGGGGCTCTATCATTTGTTCTGATCTTTCTTTTAATTAATAATTAGTATAAATTATATTACCAGATTCAGTATTTGTAATAAGTGCTTCTTATTTATATTTATACAGCTAATAATAATATGGCTTGAAATCAAAGGAAAAGAGGTTTTGGCTTTGCAATAGATAAGCCAGAATCATACGTCTTTCAAAAAATATTAATAAATGTGATTAAGTTCTGTTATTAAGCTCCAAGATTTGTTTTAACGTTTCGAAAAAACAGTCGCATAATACACATGCATTTCCATGTTTTCCCGGTGTACTCATTTTCACCTGCTGGCATCTGCCAACTGCTTCTGCTGACATTTCTCCAGTTGGAGACTGTGTGTCTCAGTTTTAATCAAAATTGTTTCATGAATTGTTCAGTTGTTTCAACTGTCAAATAAAGTTTTGACGCCCCCTCTTTTCGGGAAAACTCCGGGCAATTAAAATACTTTGGCAGTCACTTTGCTTATTTCGTTTGCTTTCTGCCGTTTCATGTTGACGGTTCTCCGCCTTGCTCTCAATTAGTTGGCCAGTTTCGCTCGTTACTCTTTCGAGTGTCGAAAAAGAGTGCAAATATTTAACATTAAATGAGAAAATTAATTTATTTGCTTTCGACTTTCATTGCAGTTGGCGAAACAATTTGTTTTAACGCGGGCTACGCAATGGCAACTCAACTGGGAGAGTTTTAAAAGTAAGTTGGAAACTTTAACTATAAAAATTTTTAATTTGCATTTGCATGGAAACACTTAAGAATTAACTAAAAATTAGGTTGGATGTCTAGCCAACTTATTCATTAAAATCTTTACAAGGGAGCAAAAGTATTTAAATATTAATATAAAAATGTTTTTGAAAGAACTACAAAACTATTTTTCGTCTTGATTTATTGATAACGATGACTTAAGAGTTAACAATGAAGTTAATTGGGTTATTAACTAACAAACATTTTACAAGCAAGTTATTTTAATTACAAACAAATGAAACTAATATGTTGAAGTAAAAGGTAACTTTGTCTTAGTACAAGTTCTTGAAGTCTTAGCCACTAAAGCAATGTTTTGAAAAATAACCCCCCAATAACTAGCAGTTATTAAACGTATATATTCAATTATATCATAAAAGCCTTTCCTGTTCATATAAGGTGGTCTTGTAAACGGAGATTGATTACACCTCTCAGTTTGTTGGAGGCCTTGATTGCACAATTAACCCCAAACAGCCATCATCCAGTAGCTGCGTGCTAATTGAATAATGTGTGAAATTGGATTCGAGTGCGTTGGGTCCATTCCCACCTATTTCCTCGAAATGAGAATCCCCTGCAGCAGCGGGGATAACCACAACCCCAATTTCCACTGATTGGTTTATTCCCTTGTCCACGTTCTAACTGCATGTCTTGATTTCCATTGGCCAACTGCCTGCCCCGAGCAGTCGGATGGATTTCATTTCATTGTGAGGGGCCTCACCTGGTTGCCACATTTTCACTTGGCCCGCAGTCTAATGACCACCTATGAGTATTACTGCGCCGCTAATGTGGCAACGAAAGACCGGAGGGCTCGCAATCGTCCTCCCTTGTCGGCCGTGATTGAAATGGGTCAATCGCTAAATGGCTAAATGGTTAAACGGCCTGAAATGTGTCAAATGGCCCGAAGACTGCGGAACAGCAACCAGTTGCAGCCACAACTCAGAGCCTGGCTAATAAACGCAACCGCATTCTGGCTCGAACCAGAAGCACTCGGGCGAAACCACTCGACTCAACTGGCACCTGTTTTACCTGCACTTGTTTTGGCCAAGAGTCAGAGAGTGAGAGAGCGTGGTGAGTTGGCCCGAGCAGCCGGCGATCGAGGCAGAGGTGAGTTTGACCTGCACCAACCTGGCCAACACCGCCTTTCGGCCAACGTCAACTTTCTACGCGATCTTCAGTTGTTTGAGCAGCCCCGAAGCGAGCGGTGCGAGAGTTGCTCCTCTTCATTATATATTTTCCTACAAGAATTTAATCGAATCCGATCAGATCGATCGAGCGATCGCGAGTGCACGTAATTGGAGCAAGCGGATTGCCCGTTAATTGCTGGCGACAGTAATTGCAGACCGCTTAAGGTGTTCCGCGGTGCGTGCGGTTAATGTGTCAATTGATTGATTGCTCCGCGGTTGTTCGTGATTGTCCGGGATTGTCCGTGATTGTCCGTGATTGAGGCGCGATGCTCGCGAAGAAGCGCTGGTGGAAGATCCGCCTGCCGCAGGTGGTCAAGCAGGACCAGTCGCGGAACTACCGGGACATAGTGAACCTCAGCGAGAACGCCTCGGTGCTGGCCAACACGATCAGCGACGGCTCCACCACCACCACCACCGAGAGCAGCGGCAGCCCCACCCGCCACCGCAGCTGCGACAGCCCTGTCGAAGAGCTCCCAGGCGGAGGCGGGCAAGCTCTTCCCCCGCAACATGCCCAGCATTCGAAGGAGTCGTCGGAGGGCCGTCTCCGCCGAGAGGGAGCGCCTGGCCAGCCGGGAGCGGGTGGAGCAGGAGCAGGTGCAGCCGCCCAAGATGCCGGAGGTGAGGGAAGGGCAGCAGTCGCGCCTCTCGACGGTGACCAAACTGACTCCTCGGAAGCCGAGTGGCAAGGCATCCTGCTCCAAGAACCGGGGAAACCCGTCTGCGGCGAAGTGCATCATCAAGTCGGCGGTGCGCACCAAGACCAAGCCGAAGCCCAAGATAACGCTGGCGCCCTACGAGATTGCCTTGGAGCTGCCCAACGAGTCGCCCGCTCCCACTTTGGCCATGGCAGTGGCCCAATCCGCAGGGGGAGAGAAGGGCAAGACCGGCGGGGAGGAGCAGTTCCACTCTTCGGGGATCTCCTGCAACGGGGAGACCGACGACGACGTGGAGGTGGCCATGCTGACGGGCAGCCTCAGTGCCTCCCAGATGGCCAGGATCCAGGGGCAGAGGCGGCAGGAGGTGTCCCTGCTCTTCGGGGACCTGAGGAACCTGAACCTCTGCCGCAACCGGAATGCCGTCTGGCTGAATCCCAAGGACACGGAGCAGCTGGTCCAGGCGGACCGGAGGGAGGCGCTCTGCTACTTCAACAAGGCCATTGCCGACGATATCCAGCTCAGCGATATTGAAGAACAATTGGCCAGGTTTGATGGCCACTCAAAGAGGCCGCCACCGCCAGCAGCCAAAGCGTAAGTCTTCTATCTCTAATGGCCGCAGCTCTTGGCGATAACGGGGAGATCGGGGAAGAGGAATGTGGCCAACTAATTTGAAATCCATTTGATGAGCTCTGCATTTTTCGGCCCAAAGTGACTATAAAACGATGCGCTGGTAGGGGACGCACTTCGGAGTTTACGGCCCAGTTTAACGACTCCTTAATAGCTTTATATGCTAAGAGTTGTTCTTGGCCGGAATTGAGCAGCTGTTTAATTAGTTTCCAATCACTGAAATCATATTTTATGGCTTCTCAAATGAAATCGACTATTCAGGAGTTATGGGCACAGCAGTTCGCATTTAAACAGGCTAGAAAACTAATAGATAAATAATTATAATTTGGGCCACTCCGCTATTGGGTAATTTAATACCTTTTGGCTGCCGTTCAAATGTGGGTCTGCAACTTTCTACCGACGTGCTATTCACTCTTTTTGAAAGAGAAATATGAAGGCCAAACAAATTGCAATTGTTTAAAAAATAATAGACTAATGGACAATAAGTGTTGTTTTCGGGCCTTGATAGCTTTGTAAGATTACGGAGTGGATATTGAAAATTTAAACCCGCGGACTTAATAGAGGTAATCTTGTTTCACGTAAGGAAACAATTATCTTACAAATTTATGCAAAATTATGGTTTCAAGTGCCAACATCATAGTGACAAGCAACATGTATTGAAACATTATTTTACAGATGCTAGAAAGCCACGAAAACATGTTGAAAACATGTTAGTATTTTCGTAGTTTGTTCCTCTCTGTATAAACAATATGTTACGTTCTCTTTTGTAAGATATTGTTGGTACAACGGCTTTACAAAATCTGGCAAAATATATCATGTTTTTCTTGCCTGCTATAAATAGACCGCTGTTTATCATTTTCACCTGATCAACGGCATTTGTTGGCTTCGCGTATCAGTTTCAATTGTGCTGAAAGTAAAATCCTGCAGGTCGCCGTGGAATAATGGTAGAAATAATCCGGCATAAGAGGCTCAGTCACCTGGAGGCGACTCTCTAAGAAGGTGTTATTAATGCCCGACTATTTGCAAAACTGACACCGAAAAGTTATTTATCAACTTTGTGGCCAGCACGTGCTCGTCCCTCGGCTGTCTTGTCGGGCTTTGTTAACTGGGCAAATGAATTGCATGCAGCTGAGTGGCAACAGCAGTGGTTAAATGAAGCTGGCAGAACTTCGGCTCCACTGGACCCATCCTCCCATCCTCCCGAGGAGCCCTCCTGTCACTTTGTGTTTGCATCCGCCCGAGGGATCCTGCACTCTCATAAATTCCGAGCCTCGACTGCGTAAATTGAGTTCTTCTTTTGCCGCCTGACTGAGTGCCCTTCATCGATGTGGCTCTCGTATCTCGTATCTTGGCCATCTTGGCAATCTCGGGCTCTTTTGCCGTCTTTTGTACTCCTCGCATTCCGTTCGCATACTTAATTCGAATGGACTTCTGTTCATAAATCTACGCAAACTGTTAATTAGATTTTGTTTTGGGCCGGGCCCTGAAATTCGTTGCATCGAGTGCGTGTCATAAATTCCCCTGGAGAGAACTCGGTAATTTGAGATGCCCTTGCAGCCAAATCCGCATCCACACGACCCATTAGCAATCAGTCGGGCTATTAAATTCCCTGTTTAAGTGAACCAAAATCAATATTGACTGGCGGCTACTTAAAGCGTAATTAAGCGCCTCGCCGGGCAGAACACTCTGCATAGGAATTCCCCGCTCGCCGAGAGTCTCAACAATAAAGTAAATAAATAAGGTCTGCCGACGGCCTCTTTTTTATTTTTTAGCCGGGCTAATTGAAGTTGGCGAAGGCAAGAGGCTAGTCCGCCAAACTCTCGGGTGGTCCACTGCGGGCTTATCGGTTTACGATTTGCTTTGATTTAAAAATGAGCTACGCATTTGATTTTAATTGCATTCGATGTGCGCAGTAGTCGGGATGGGATCGGACGGAATGGAGTGGAGCGAAAGGCTCTGGGCCGAGATATATGGCATTTTAATTGAAATGGCAAAAGGCCGACAAACCGGAGGGGTCGAGGGGGTGGGCCTTAATCTGACTTTAACTGATTCGCGGACATATCAAGTAACGCCCCTTTAATGCTCTGCGCTCCAGTGAAGTGGAGCTGATTTTCTGCTCTCTCGGCTTTCTTCAACATACATTTTTTCTAATTAATTTTTTCGAGGGGCGTATGGGCAATTTCTTTGGCTGTCAGCGGACGAAGCCAGTCAAAATTTCTTCTTTTCGTAGTTTTTCATAAAGTTCAACCTCCTCCTCCGTGGAGTGTGACACAATCCGAGTTCTTGTATAAGCCATTTTAATGGCCCCGAGTCTTGGTCCCAAAGAACCCAAGTTTTATTGATTCAACACCTAATCGTGAATCCATAAAACGCATTAACAAAACACAAGATTTACAAGTGAATGGGGAAGAAGACAGACGAGTTGATTGATTTCGCCTCGCGTTCGGGGAAATTCAATTTATAATCAAAAAGTTGTGATGGTGGAAGGGGCGGGAAGGGGGAAGTATTTTACCAGAAAATGTGTTTATGAAATAAAATCGAAAACCGCAAATAAAATTAGCCAAGCAGCCCGCAGGGGAAAGGGGAGGGTCTCGCTAAATTGAAGGGCGTTGCTTTGGAAGCTCATTATATTTCCTGTTCTCCGCGGCGGATTATGATTATCTTTACTTCGCGGATGCCCCGTGCGGTTGCCCCGCCGACAATTTGCCGTACTTACATATATAGTACATCAGAGGAAGGCTTCACATGTGGCGGGGGCAATTTAGTGGCCATAAGTCAGAGGCGGCCAAGAGGTCGCGCCGCTGGCTTGGAGCGTGTGTAAACGGAGCTAAGTGTTCTAGCCACGACCAGGATTCGGCCATGCGGATAACCAGTTTGCCTCTTTGTTGCGTTTAATTTTCGTAATTTGGGTTTAATTGAAATCGGAGGAGTGCGCAGCCCCATGTAATTAATTTAATGGCCATCGCTTTGTTGGTCAAATTCGGGTGGGAAGCGGACAATCGCGCGATTTTGTGCCGTCATGCCGCTTACAAATTGTTGCCAAATTGTGGCAACTCGGAGCCGGACAATTACCAAATGGCATTGCTGGGCTCTCGAGCCGCCCACACATCGAATTGATTTATCTTGGGAGCGCTATAAATACTCACTTTAGAAATTGCCATCAATCAGAACCAGATGCAAATGAAGCCAAGCCAAACTGGCAAACTGGCACAAATGTCACTTGGCCGAAAAGCTTGTGAAAGTGTCTGGACGCCGATCGGCCGACAGATCCGCCGCTGGAATTCAAGTTGATAATCGTGATTTTCTTGAAATATTTTAGCCACTCGAGTCGAGATTTCCGCAAATTAATTTCGCCCCCCGCCTGAGAGGCACTTTGCGGAGAAAGTCGGCTCGCAGATTCATAGATGCATTTCGAGGCTGCCGATTGCAGATAGCAATTTGGCTGAAAAAACACGTGTTGCCGGCCCGGTACATCCACCTACGGCTACTTCTACACTGGGAAACCGAGTTACTTGAGTTGGAGCAGCTTGAAACGAATGAAAACCTCAGTTACTAATGGGGAAACTCCCATCGCGAACCCACTTATCAGTTTGCTTAAATCGTAAGATTTTAATTAGAGTTTGAGAGTTGTATAAAATACTTGGCAACCCGTAAGTGTGCGGTGCTTATCTAGTTGTTGGGGCCTTAAATCACTCCTTTTTTCTCCATGCACCGGGATGGGACGTGAGTTGGGTCAGTACGAACACAATCGTCAGCATCAATCCGCGCCATTTCAACGAAAACCCATATGTCGCGCCGCCTACGCGACTGGAAGCGTTAATGAGACGCCGCTGGGTTTCGGCCGGGCCCTAGCACTTGGCACTTGGCACTTGATAAATTGGAGCCAGCGCCTAACTGTAGATCTGCGGACGCTCTCCGCCCAGACGCTCTAACAAGATCCTGTTCGCGGTCCCGGCCATTCAGGCTTCATTAGCAGTCGGTCGCGGAGTAAGAAGCAGTAAAAGTTGGCAGGCGACGGTCGGGGTCTTCGCATTTGGCCAGTTTCCCTCTCTGCGGCAGAACAAGACCAGAATGCGGACCGGACTGGATGCTTGGATGGCGGCTTCCTGGTTGCACCCAAATGCATTAGTCTAATGCGAACTTGGTCCCAGTCGCACAGTCGCTCCTCCTCGTCTTTCGTGTGGATGTGGCTGGTGGCTGTGTCAAGTCGCTTGGACACTCGGGCCAAACATTTGATGACTTAATTGCGCATTTTAGCAGATACACATGAATGCAGCTAGAAGCAGCAGGAAAGTGCAGGCCGTGCACTGCGAGGAAGTTCGAGTATCTTAGTTTAAGTAAATTCTACTTAGGTTTACTGTACATCAAAATATTTAAACGAATAGCTTGGATAATTGTTCCAAAAACAAAAACTATATTTAAATTGTTTTATAGAGTAGTGCAATTTTAAGGGAGGTGTTGAAAAATATTAATTTCAAGGAGCTTCCTGTTTTCATAGGATTACTCCCTAATGACATTGGTAGGGTTCTTTAAAGTCAAACGATAAGCGTTGAAGCTGTTAATGGGTCTGAAGATAGGTGAATTAGTTCTTAGTAATTTAACCCATCGAAAACCCTCAAATTTTCCAACTAATCCCATTTCTAACAGTGCTGCCTGTCTTCGGGCCCAAGGAGGTTCCCCTGTGATGCACCACACAACTTTATTTTGACAGGCGGCGATTAGAAGCCGACGTTACCCGTCCCTCCATCGCCCCGTCCCCCTTCTCCTTGGTCTTTTGTTAATTGAAATGTTGTTGTTGCCAGCTGATGCAGATGCTGATTCCGATGTTTGTTTGCTCTTCCATCCCGTTTCTGTTCCCGTGCCCAGTCCCAGTCCCATTCCCAGTACCACTCCCTGTTCCCCGAAGCCCCATCCCTCGACTCCTGTCGGCTGTCTGTCAGATGCTTGTTGCTTTTGTCAGTTGT